GTCTGGAGAAGACCAGGCGACCGTGAAAGACAAAGAACTGCCACAGGAACAGTTCAGCAAGGCGGAAAATCGGTGTCCTTTTGAGGTGGCATTATGATTGGAGCTAGAACGCCTTTGATCCCGTATCGGGGCTTCATGACAGCAGACATGTACAAAGCAGTTGCTATTGATGATATCGTCAGACCATTCCGAGTAAACCATGGGCACCAATTTGTACTGGTCGATGATAATGCGCCCGCACATCGAGCTCAACGAGTCAATGCTGCTCTTCAAGAATACGATATCACACGATTAGACTGGCCTGCCGGCTCGCCCGACTTAAACCCAATAGAGCACGCGTGGGATGCTCTTAAACGAGCAGTATGGAACCGTGAGCCACGTCCCCAGATAGTTCCAGAGCTCAGGGAAGCCGCTATTGAAGAATGGGATAGGTTACCCCAGGAAATGCTGGATAACTTGATCCTCAGCATGCCCAGGAGGATCTTCGCATGTATTCGAGTCAGGGGAGGAGTTATTTTATATTGAATTCACACCTTTTAATAATAAATTGTTGTTTAAGTTTAATTAAACAGTCTTTTTCTTTCAACGAAATTTCTATCACTATTACATTATGATTAATGGCTAATTTTTTTAAATAAATAATAAAAAATAGTTTTATATTTTAATTTCAAACAGGGTATTCCTATTTAAAGAAAGCATACAACATAGATTTTTTCTTGATAAAGTTAAATTTAAAGAATTATAGGAGCTTATGCTATTGATCGCAAACTTTTTTTGATGTGTGTATGGGTATAAATTAATATTAACAAATTTTTGCCGCCAAACTTGTAGGGAAGTATTTCAACATGGGCGATGAGTGAACACCTGCTTGACTGACAGTTTGTTTAACAAATCACCTTATATCTCTTATCTTAATCTTAAACAACGCCACTGACAAACGGCAGTTTTTTTTACAATTTACATTTCGGAAAAAGGTTATCTAGATCTTATCTTATCTTATTGTATGAAAAATGAGGTAAGCATCTTAAATCGTATATTTTCCTGAAAAAGCTGTTAACCTATTTAAATGTTATTATGCGATTAAAGTTATTATTATTTTAATCGTATTCACACGCAAATACGATTTAAAAGTACAGCCACTTTTAATATAATATACTCGTAATACCTTCTAATAATATTCCCGGCTATAGTTAAAAAGAGGAGTCGTTAATGAACCAAAACCGAAGGAAGGAAACGGTAGAAAAGAAAATATAATTTAATCATTTTATCTGTGTTTCAAGGGCGCAGATGTCTATAGTCTTTAAACTTTCTTTATATGTAACATTGGTTGGATCAACAAAGTCATTAAAATTTTTAATCACGATAACATAATAGGTACAGTCGCGTGCAATGAAATGTATACGTTCACTTATTTTCAAAAATATGTAAACATTAGATATTTCAAAAATATTTGTAACCTTGTGCTGTTTTCAAAAATATGTAATCACGACATCGTTTTAAAAGTTGTATACTTTTATTTCAAAGAAAAGTAAAGAAACTACAACTTGTGAAAAGTATACACTCCTGGTGTTAAAAATATGTATCCATATCATTTTCATAAATATTTAATACTATACATTTTCATTAAAATGTATACAAATACAAGATTATTGTAAATTAGCGAACAAATCCCGTTCTAAGTTAAGTTTTGTTGGCAAATTTTCCATAATCTTGTATTTAGAAAATAAATGTATGTGCGGTACTGTGCAGTTGTTGGGTTTAATAATAATACAAGGCTTTACAGAAACAAATTGTGATTTTATTAATTGTAATCATTCCTCTGTCTTTAATTATAAAGTTAAATCATTACATTTTATTGCAAAGTAAATATAAAAGGTATTTATTTTGTATATATTACTGTCATAATGCATATAGACAACATTAACATCGTCAAAACAAGAATTTCTTTAGATCTATAAATGGCATCCAAAGAAACTCGTTATTTTGACAAACACAGAGTGTATTAAGTGTGATAATTGCAAAATGTTACATCGCTCACTTGCGACAAAAACGTAACATCCACGAAAAAGGTAGTAAAACAAATAATGCAATAACATTCGCGGTAACGCGCTCTTATTTCTATATAAACGTTAAATTTTTGACGTAAGAAAACTCAAAACTGTGAAGGAAAGAGATAGTTTGTAACATTATAGCGGAATCTCATATGAATTTTTGTTCTATATTAATAGTAACGGAGCAATGGGACAAAATGTCTATAGAGCATGCAAAAAGCGTTAGGGTTGTCCAAACGCATAAAATTAACATTTTGATGACAATTTTTCGAGAGCTTTGATTTTACATTTAGCGAATAATTAGTATGCTTTTCATGTGAACTTACACGATAAGACACAATACAATTATTACTAGTATTAGTGTGAGGACAGACGAGCGTAATTTTGTGAGTTGCGTTTTTTTTTGTGCTCGAAAGAAATTCGGTCGGAGCGCCAGACGAACGTATTTTAAAAACACTATGCATTTATGAAGCATTAGAAGACAATGTCCGAAAAAGAAGCTGGGTACGTCCACTCAAAATGAAACGATTAAAGTGTGTGCAGTTTCGTATATTATTTGTGATATTTATTAATGATATCGGATCATGTTTTATAAATTCAAAGTTCTTATTATTTGCTGACGACATGAAAGTTTTTAAAGTTGTTAATAATACCTCAGATGCGATTCTTTTACAAGAAGATTTAGCAAGACTCGATATATATTGTACAACTAACAAACTTGACTTAAATGTTTCGAAATGTTATTATATAAATTTTACTAGAAAGCGAAATATTTTCAATTATATTTATAAAATTAAAAATTGTAATCTTACTAGGAATGCCTTTGGATCTGATTTGGGTGTAATTCATGACAGTAAGTTATTGTTTGACCAGCATATTTCTTACATATATGACAAAGCTTACAAAGCTTTAGGATTCATCATTCGTACATCAGAATGGTTTAAAAATATGAAAACCCTGAAAATCCTTTACTGCACTTTTGTTCGTAGCCATCTTGAGTATGCATCCCAAATTTGGAATCCTAGCTATGATACTTACTCTAATAAAATTGAAATTTTACAGAAGAAATTTACTAAATTTTTAAATTACAAATTTAAATTACCCCAATTGGAATATGTATATCGTTGTAGAAAACTTCATCTGTTACCTTTACACCTGCGAAGAAATATAGCCGATGCCTGTTTTTTGTTGAACATCGCTCAGAGTAAGATTGACTGTCCTGAGCTCCTTAGTAACATTTTACTCAAAGTTCCAGTTAGAGCATTTCGAAAGCATAATTTGCTCCATGTTCCGGTTGGTCGTACCAATTTTAGAGGTAATAGTTACCTGCCAAGATCATTAACATTATTTAACCAGCTCAATGATGACGGTCGCATAGACCTTTTCTGTAATAGCGTTATAAATGTAAAAGCTATTATGATTGATAACTTCTTATCAAATGACTAATAAGGCGATTGTTGTGTTTTCATAATTAGATGTATCATTGTAATTTTAAGCTTGTGTTATTGTAAGATTATTTTCTTAAGTTCAAATGTGGAAGCTTTTAATTGGCATATGTTTGATCATACTTAAACCTATATTGTAAAAGTAGCTGTAAGCTCCCCAAATATAATAAAATAAAAATAAAATAAAATAAAATAAAATTATGCACAAGTTTATGTGAACATCCAGATCAATTTGGTAAGTACTACCACATGCCAATAAATGTTTTTCAAAAATTATGAAGCCTA